TGTGCTATGGTCAGTGATTTTATGCCCACATACATTGTTATATACGCTGGATATACTGTTGGTGTTACAGTTCCTTTCATCATGTGAATATAGTTTAATAAAAATTTAGGATGAAATTTTGAAAAATAAAACTGAAGTCAGGGGACATCTTGGAATGATTCTGTTTTAATATGGATCACGCGTGGTCTCATCAAAGTATATCAACTTTGTGTGCTCTGTGAAGATTCCCCAGGGGCCCTTTGGGAACAAGGGGTGGCATACATGTAGTTATCGCTAGGGGGTGGTAGAGCATCGCTCTCGGTTCTTCCCTGGCAGAGTTCTGGGAAATGAATGCATCCAAGCTTAGTTAAATCATTACCAACTTCCTTTTCCATAGAGAAGTTGGTGACCCTTCTGTCACTTGGCAAACCAAGCCAGGCAGCAGGACTCTGAAAGTGTGTTTGTGCGAGTTAATGACTTATTGATTGTGTTTGCTGGTGTTTGCACTTAATCCTGGGTTTGATTTCACTGAACTGTCAAGTAGTTCCAAAAACATTCCTCGTTGGTAGATCTTAAAGAGAAACATTAATCCCTGTTGTTTATTCTAATCTACCATGAACCCAGAGGTTGTGTGAATTCTACCAAGAGCCCCAGACCAGGCATTGTTTTGAGCAGACTGGAAAACAGTCTGAGCCAGCTGACTCTCAGGTGAAGCCATCCCAATCCAGGCTGAGCCCCAGGTGGCAGTCACAGGGAGCCAGCTGAGAGGGCAGCCATCAGAATCTTGACTCCAGAAGAGACTCAAGGGTGAGTCAGCACCCAAAAGTTCATGTGCAAAGAAAGCCAGAGCCCAGCCATCCACAAAAGGCTGGCTGAGTTTCCTGAAAGTTCCAGATCCTTGGCACCTCCTGCTTATTCCTCATGCAATCTAATTCACAGCCTAACCGCACATCACAAGGGTGGGGAGAGAGCAGAATGCAGAGCTCAACTCACCTGGATGGAGACATCTCCAGGGAAATGTCACTTGCCTTGGATTTGTTTGTTTTGCTTGATCATAGCATGTTCTAGAAGTCACTTGGGTTAGCTTCAGGAGGGTACAGAATAGCTTTAGGAGGAGAGGTCAGCACTGAGTTCCACGAAGGGACAGATCTATCTAGAGTCTCTGCATTTTGGGGGTCCCCAGAAGGACAAGGAAGAGATAGATGGGCAAGTGTTCTACAGGTGCCTTCCGGATGCAGAGCTGTGGAGCTGGGAACCCAGGGAAGCCAGGAGGCTGGTCCTCCCTCACCTCCCACTGAAACTGCGCAGGCTCCGTCCTTCCATCGATGGTGTGATGAAGGGTCCTCCTTGAGCTGGGCCACCGGGGTGAGGATGGTGAAGTCTAAGCCCAGTTCTATCTGCCAGGCCAAGAGCCCAGCCTGAGCTTCCCAGAGCGAGGCTTCCTTCTAGAGTCTCTGGAGATCTTCAAGGGAGCGCTCACAGCCATGTGGTATAGCACGGAGCCATGGTAATGGTGAACTGATTCACCTGGGAGTTTGTTGTTGTGGTTGGTGGTGGTGATGATGGTCTACTTGCCCACCTGCCATGTTAGAATTCTATACCCATCCAGGTCTTAAACAGCTGGGGAAGTGGAGACAAGGGCCTTTCTGACAGTCAGGAACATGGTGACTTTGGGTGAGCTTCCATTTTCTTCAAGAGATGAAACCATGTTTGCATCTCAAGTACGTGAAATGACTCAAACTAATAACACACCAAAAAATACTCCGAGAGCAAAGCAGATGTCACTGGGCCTTTTTCCAGAAGCCAAATGAGGCCTCACAGAGCCTTCCAGGCAGATAATAAATGCAAGAGCTCAGAACCCCTGGTCCTTCCCTCCAGTGCTCTCATCTCACAGATTTGGGAGCAATCGTCCTACTGTAATAATTAATTCATATTGCCACACAGATGAGCTAGGGGAGATTACGGCCAATTCTATCATAAAATTTTTCATTACAAATAAATTTTGCAAACAAATTCCCAGTTTGGCTAGCTGAGCCTATAAGGAAATCCTTTGAAACAAAAGCATCTCTACAAAATCTCCACGGTCAGGGGCTTTGCTTAGGTGATTTCTAAAGTCTCTTAGAACTGCAGAATCCCTATATTCTCAGCAACAACAACAACAAAAAATACAATGAGTTTGTCACAGATTTAAATAACCTTATAACAGGGTAGAGGATGTAGTTCAGAGGTAGAGTGCTTGCCCAGGATTGCACACAGTGCTGGGTTTGAAGCCCAACACTGCCACAATAAATGAGTAAATAAATAGTCTCACAGCACCCCTATCACATCCTGGTATGTTGGTTGTGCAGATGAGAAAAACAAGGGTTAGAAAGCCAGTATCTCTTGGAGAGAATTACTCAGCTGGTAAGTAAATCAAATCAGAAATAAATCAAACGGTGAATAAAAAAATAAATCAAACAGACAACCAGGATCACGAAGATCCAGCTACAACATCCCTCTCACTGACTCCATCCGCCATGCCCACAAAACACTGAACCTAAGTGCACCCAGGCCGGGTCTCAGTCCATGATTCCATTCAACAGACTTTTGAGAGGAACCATCCCTCATTCCTCCACACCTCAGTGACATTTTGTCCTAACCCAGTCACTCAAGGATGCGAAACTTATTTAATGTTGAACTGGAAATGCAGGCAATTGGGCAAATGAGACATTTTGTTTAACAAGGAGGAACTTAAGACATCCCAAAGCACAGAGAACTAAAATGGAGCTGCCATAGAATGAGAGAGTTGAGGCATCTGGAAGATTCTAGAAGGTAGCTCATTAGAGATTGCAAAGCAATGGCCTGGAGGCCATATGGGGCTCACAGCTGTGTTTGTGGTTAGCACAGCACATTTTTAATTGAAGAGGTTGCCAAAAATGTTAGTGTTTCCTTTTTTAAAAAATCTGCATGTCCAGCCTGGTGTGCACACTTCCTCTTAACAATGCCTGGGCTGAGATGAATTCCTTGGCTTCATCACCCACTCCCCACAAGTGCTGACCCTTGCTGCTGAATTGTAATGAGGGGAGAAAATAGCTCTACAAGGTGTGCTAGGTAAAATCAGAAAGGAAAATAGACCATAAACATCCCATAATTCAAAATGTTCCACATGAGCAGGCCAAATGCTATGCTGTTAAGAACTGACTTTGGCCCAGCTGGTGGCTCACGCCTGTGATCCTACCTACTCAGGCAGCTGAGAGCTGAGGATCACAGTTCAAAGCCAGCCTGGGCAAGAAAGTCTATGAGACTCCTATCATCAATAAACCAGAAGTAGCACTGTGGCTCAAGTAGTAGAGCGCAAGTCTTGGGCCAAAAGAGCTCAGGGACAGTGCACACAGCAGAAGGTATAGCTCAGTGATAGAGCATGTAAGATGCTCTGGGTTTTAGCCCCAGCGTGAATGTACGCACTTGTGCGTGCACACCACACATGCGCACACACATACACAATCTATGCCTGACTCAGTCTAGAGAAGGGCTCAAGCAAAAGATTATTTTAATATCGTGTTTATACAAGTGGTCAGAGCACTGAAAGCTAGCTCAAGAATGCTCCCCGCCTCTGTTTTACCGGCTTATGTTGCCCTGCTGCCTGACCACCTGACCCACTAAGTCATCTTGATATGGCTGAGAAAAGACTTAGTAAACACGAAGGAAGACTGGAGGAATTTACACAGCCTAAAGCACAGAAAACTGAAAAGATGAAAATATGAATGAGAAGAGACACACAGGATAAAAGTTCCTGATATAGATTCTAGAAAAAAAATCATAAAAGGAATACTAGATCATAAGAACAAATTACAACTACATGCAATGTAGATGAGTTTCATTAAAATAATATTGAGTAAAAGAGAAACAAAAGCACAGATGATTCCCTTTTGTACAGCTTAGAAACTTTTCTTAGGTAAGAAAAAAGACGACGGTTCTGGAAGCTAGTGCTTTCCCTAAGAGGGAAGAGATGCATAGTAACGAGAAGGAAGCTAGGTTTTTCAGTGCTAGAATTACCTGCTTCTGGGCATGCATACTAGTTACATTGTTTTGGTTTATGAATATTCATCAAACTGTACAGTCATGATTTGCATGCTTTTTAAATCATTTTATGCTTCAATAAAAATTAAAACGGGACATGGTCACACATACCTATAATTTTAGCACTTAAGAGAGCTAAGGCAAGAGAATCTCAAGTTCAAGGCTACATAGTGAGAGACATAGAGTAATATATATATATATATATAACTATATATAACTATATATATAGTTATAACTATATATAGTATTTGTAGAGAAAAAGAAACATGTAACATAGAGAAAAATGAGAAAATGGGGTTAATAGACACATTCAAGCATGTAAAGGCTGAGATTTTTTCTGGAAATGACAAAAGGTATAATTCTACAGCCTCTAGGCCAGAAAAACTCTTGAGCAAAAAAATAACCTAGACACAAAGTACTAAAATCATAGCAAACAATAGAGACACATTTAAAGCCACGAGCAAAGACGAATGAAGGGAAGAAAACAGAGGGAGGATTATCAAGAATGAAACCATAAGGCTAATTTCAGACCTCACAACAATAACAAAAGAAACTTATAAGAAATCATATTTTCAAAGTGTCAATCTGGGATTCTAGATGCAGCTATAATGTCATAAAGAATGAGGACATAATGAAGACATTTTGAAAATTCAAGATAGATGTCCTTGAGGAAGCAGTAAATTGAAGCCAAAACGACAATGTAAGCTACAAGAAGCAAAGCTGAGCAAAATAAAGGGTAAAAAAGAAGCAAATTGAAGCCCAGCAACTGATTTAGGGGTATACAGTCAAAATAGGGAGTTCTTAGGAGGTGAACTGTGTCTTTCATATTTTCATATGTGAAAGTCTTACCCTCAAAGATCAACAGGAAGTAACCTTATCGGGACATAAAGTCATACTAGACGTAATAGTTAAAATGAGGCAATCCTCATGCAAAGTGACTGGCTTCCTATTGAAAGAAGAAACTGGGGCACAGAGACATGCACACAAGGGGAGGACCACATGAGGATGAAGGCAGAGCTGGAGTCACACTTCCACAAGCCACGGAAAGCTGAAGCAGGCTGGAAAAACAAGAGCTTAGCAAGAGACGTGGGAAACGAATACAGGAACCAAGCTTCACACCGGAGATAAATTAAACTTAAGATGGAAGGTGAAAGATTAAAGGTAAGAAGTTCTTGGTGGTGCAGAAGAAGGAAGAGAATCACTAATTTCCATGGTGGGGGTGGGGGGGTAAGGGTGTGGGTGTATGTGCACACGTGCACACACACACACATGCCAGTCCTGGAACTTGAACTCAGGGCCTAGCCACTGTTCTTGAGCTTTTGTGCTCAAGGCTAGCACTCTACCATATGAGCCACAGCTTCATTTTCTGGCTTTGTGGTGGTTAACTGGAGATAAGACTCTCGTGGACTTTACTGCCCAAGCTGTCTTTATACTGCGATCATTAGATCTCAGCCTTCTGACTAGATAGGATTGCTAGGTTTGAGCCACCAGCACCTTGCAACTTTGATCTTTGAACATTAAAAATATACGTTAAAAGTTAAGAATAATCACACACAAAAAGAACAACATAAATAAAAATGGGTATCTTCTTTTTTTTTTTTTCTTTTTTGGCCAGTCCTGGGGCTTTGAACTCAGGGCTTGGGCACTGTCCCTGAGCTTCTTTTGCTCAAGGCTAGCACTCTACCACTTGACCCTCAGTGCCAAATCTGGCTTTTTCTGTTATGCGGTACTGAGGAATTGAACCCAGAGCTTCATGTTTGCATGCTAGGCAAGCGCTCTACCACTAAGCTACATTCCCAGCCCCAAAACTGGGTATCTTTTAAGTCAGCAGAAAGGAAAAGAAGAATTTTAAAGACTAGCAAATAAAAAGAACCAAAAAAATTTTTAAAGACAGTTGATAAAAAATTCCATACGAAATCTGCAATAAGAAAGAATATACATAAACTGACTAAAGTACACTAAAGGTATCTTGTTGATGGAAAGGAATATCTTAGAGATGGAGCCCAAATCTAAACAAGAAACTCTTTCATAATTCATATCTATGCACATAGCTGGAAAGTGGGTTTGTGCTGTGGAATTTTACACTGTGGCATATCAATGCTCAAAGAGTATGGGGTTTCGGAGGATTGTAATTTTTGAATTAGGAATGTCCAGCTTGTAATACATAATATATATCCATACAAAATGAAATATACTTTATATTCAACTGAATTGTTAAGGATTAACTGGTTAACACTGAGTGGTAACCCTGAATTTTATAAGCATTCTGTAGCTACACAGCCTTAATATTGCCTCAATAATATTTGATTGTACAAACCACAAAACACAATTGTTAATAGAAAGAACTGAAAACTCAATCATCATGATAGGAGGTTTTACCAAATCTTTGAGTATCTGACAGATTATGCAGACCAAAAATAAGATACAGAAAATCTGCACACAGAGTCTCAACTCCTAACAGTACAAGCAGACCTATTGAATGTTTTGACTCTTCTTTAGTTTTCTTAATTTTTTTTCAAGTTCTGGGGATTAGATTTCACACTAAAACAGGCTCTTACCACTGAGCCGCATCCCCAGTCCCTCCATTTAACTTAAAACAAAAAAATAACAGAATTGCAGTTAACATAGTTTAGGCAATATCATACAAAAGAGGTTAATAAAAACTGGAAAATGCCAAATTAAGTATACTTATATACTTACAGTTTCTTTTTAGTAACTTACAAGCATTGCTATCATGAAAATTCTGAAATAATCACAAAACTATAAAGTAATGTCAAAGTTGAAAGATTATACAATTGCAAGAAGAGTTTCAACTGGAAAAACTGAAAACATGTCAGTTCAGCTCAAATGAATGGGCCATGATACATACAAAGCATGCTCATTCACTAGCCAGGTATGGAGACACATACATGTAAGTCCAGCCATCAGGAGGCTGAGGCAGGAGAACTGAAACTTTGAGACCAACTTGAACAACTTAGTAAGACTCTGTCTCAAAAATAAAGTAGAAAGCTCACACTTTGGATTCAGGTCTTAGAGTATCTCACAATCAGACTTGGAAAAGGCATGGGGAAAAATAAAATAAAATGGTGCATTAGGTTAGAGAGGCAACTTAAAGCCAGGAAATCTGCTTTTAAAGGAAAACTATTAATATATACCAACAATTAAAAATCAAATGCTAAATCCTAACCTTATTAATGAAATTACAAGATGGCTAAATGCAAACATCAAACCTCCTATTGGCACTGTACTATTTAACAATTGCTAATTTGGAGACTCTGAGAAAGAAACAGCATGACTATAAGGTGCAATTAAAACATTTACTTAAAGGTCTTAGCTTTAAAAAGATAGATGAAAGGTATTTAAATTATAGATGTAATTATAGTACAGAGTTGTGCATTTATATTTACTCATCAGAACTTCTTAAGACGTTAGGTGTCAGGAAGCAAGGAAGAGTAATTATTGAGTCAGCAAAAAGAAATCCATGTTAATTACACTAAGGGTTTGGTTTTTGTTTTCATTATTTTTAAATCAAGCAGGAAAATGCTATGGTTTGGATCCTCAGTGGCCTCCAAGGGCTCTGGTGTTAGAAGACTGGCCCCCGGTTTAGCCTATTGAGAGGTCTGGGGTCATCAAGGTATCCTCTGGAAAGGGGTTGTAGAATTTCCAACTCTTCCTCTCATTCATATTCCAGCCAGGAAGTGAGAGATTCTGTTCCACCACCTGCTTCCAGCACAGACCCAAAAGCAATGAGACCAACTGGCCATGGGCTGAAACCTCCCAAAATTGTGAACCAAAATTAACCTTTCTTCCTCATATGTTGATCACCTCGCTGACTGACACAGAGAAAATACATTTATTTCCCAGCAGGAACCCAGACTAAGTCACATTTTTCCCTTCCCTGAGTTTTATAAACAAGAATATCTCCCTTCAACTATCACAATCTGCATCAAATTTTGAGACTCCTAACGATACTCTTTTTTCTGATATTCTTTATTTTTTTATTTCGATTAGCATCATTTTATATGTATATAACTATTGAGCTATTGTAATCCCCTGCTAGGACTATACTAGACATTATTACTAATTATTACAAATGAGGAAAAACATGGAACCTATGTTTCTTTGGGTCTAGCTTATTTCACTAATATGATTTTTTTCTAAGTCTCTCCATTTCTTTACCAATGTGACAATGTCATTCTTTCTGATAGAAGCGTAGAATTCCACTGGGTATATTTACTACTGTTCTTGATCCATTTATTTATTTATTGTTGGTCGTGGCGCTTGAACTCTGGGCCTGAGCAGACACTGTCCCTCAGCTCTTCAGCTCAAGGTGAGTGCTCTACCACTTGAGCCACATCGCCATTTCTGGTTTCCTGGTGGTTAATTGGAAATAAGAGTCTCACAGTCAGGCAGGGAAGGTGGCTCAGTGGTAGAGCGCTTGCCTTGCATGCTTGAGGCCCTGGGTTCGATTCCTCAGCACCACATAAGCAAAAAGAAAAAAAGCCAGAAGTGGTGCTGTGGCTCAACTGGTAGAACACTAGCCTTGAGCTGGAGAGCTGAGGGACAGCGCCCAGGCCCAGAGTTCAGGCCCATGACTGGACCCAAAAAAAAAAAAAAAAAAGAATCTCACAGTCTTGCCTGCCAGGGCCAGCTCTGAACTGCAATCCTTAGATCTCAGCCTACTGAGTAGCTAGGATTGCAAGCGTGAGCCACCGGTACCCAGCGATCCTTCTTTTTCATTTTTACTTTATTGTTATTTTAGAGGTGATAAACAGACAGGTTACATTTACATGAGTCAGGTAATGAGCACATTGCCTTTTGTACAATGTCTTCTGTTCCTCATTCTCTCCCAGCCAATCCCTCGCCTCCCCACCCACAAGTTGGATAGTTCACTTTCATCAGTGTCCAGTGAGCTCCATTGCTGCAATTTTTCACCCATTTTCTTCCAGTTCTGTGCCCTCCCCTCCTTTCTGAAGCTGTACATATAAATACACTGTATATAAGGTAAAGAAGACAGAATCCTCAAAAAACTGAAAAAGAAAAAAAAGTTTTTTGTTTCCATATCTGAAGGGCTCATTTTAGTATGTACATTATTTTATATAAATACAAAGAGGTGCTTAGGCATTACACCTTTGTGATTCTCTCCTAAGAGTATCCTCTTCTGGTCTCACTGTATGTGTTATCTAGAATCCTGTGTAATTTGTCATATCTCAGTGCATTTTAGGTCTAACATCTACATATCAGAGAGAACATGTGCCATTTGTCTCTCGATCTTAGCTTATCTCACTTAACATGATTTGTTCTAGTTCTATCTATTTCCCTGCAAATGACATTATTTTATTCTTTCTAATGACTGTAAAATTCCATTGTATACAGATACCACATTTTTTGGTTCCATTCATCTATTGTGGGGCATCTGGGCTGTTTCCATACCTTGGCTATTGTGAATAGTGTGGCAATGAACACGGATGTGCAGGGGTCCTTACCATCCTAGCTCATGATGTTCAGGGCAGATGCCTAAGAATGGCATGGCTGGATTGTAGGAAAGGTTTATGCTTATCTAACTGATCATTCTTGCTGCAAATAGGAGACATTGTTCGTGTTGCACTGTGTGAATTTATTATGGGTTAGGTCCTGAGTAGAACTGAGGCACTGGAATAAAGCTATAGTTGGAGACTTGCCTGTGGAATGACCTATAAGTGACTCTATCTGAGAGACCTACTTAAATAATGCCAATGGCTTCCTACAAAGAACAGGTAGGTGGCCACCTCCATTTAAACTTAAATGGTTTGCTGCAGTACTGCGCTGTGGTCCTGTACAATTTAGGAAATCACACTGTGTTCTGGATTAAAACAAGGTCCCTGGCCAGCACAGTCCTCTTAGAGTCATACTCCACCGCGGGTGAATAGTGCTGACTTTGCTGACTAAAGAAAAGGGGGAGGGGGTTGAGCTACTATTCTAACAAAGAGAGAAAGAGAAGATCAGAACAAATCCTTCATCCCCTAGGTTACCACGGCTGCCCAAACATCACAAAAGAAAAATAGACAGAGTTTATGTCCACCTAGCCCAGTCAACCCTGAACGAGGAAGGCACTTTTCAAACATAGACCAGACATTCACAAATTCACACAGGTAACTGGTACTATAGTATAGTAAAGATGGCAACCTTGGAAACAAGGCGTGCTGTGGCTGACTAGGTGAGAAACATGCTAGCAAAGTTGGAAGAAGCTGACTGAATAAGCTAGATACAGCCCACCTGTAGTAAGGGAATACCCAAGATGCCTTGGACTTCCCAACACCCCAGTTCCTGTGCTTTCTTTGTGAGGTGGCTTTTAGGCCCCAAATCAATCAACAAGTAAATGGCCTTCCCTACAGTGCAAAGCCTGTTTGTCTACAGTTCCCACTAACTCAAAGAAACCAACGCCACCCACTTAACCTACTTCCAGACAGAGATGACTTCGAGCTCTGCCAGCCATTCATTCCTTCCATAGCATGGCAGAGCATGAAGCAATACTTTTCATCCACCCTCTGGATGGGCATGTGTTTATCAGAGATCCTTTTAAGCCAAACATCCTCTGAGAAGTAGGCCAAGGGTAGAATCTTTGGGAAGCAGGCCGAATATAGCACACATGTCACCAGGGATCCAAGAGGTTCTCTCCAGCTGCTCAGTTTTCAGACCAGAATCTTCCTGGATATTTCCCGGGCCAGAATTAGTACCCATAAACCGGGTACTTCCTTACATTGTTTGGCTGATGCTCTTCCTGCTGAGAAAGTGTTTGACCTGTGAGTGTGTACTACAAGGTCAAATTGCTCCTGGCTCCCCTGATTCCTTAAATAGCAGTGCTTTCTCTTCAGATTTGCAAAGTCATCTGTGCTCCCTGCAACAGAGGGCTTGAGTTGGCTCTAGGGCAGGAGGAAACTGAGCCTATTCACCTTTAAATCTAGATCCAAAACAAGAGTGACATCAGCATTTCTCTATCCAGAGTAGTGCCCACACTTCAGTGATGGAAAGGAATGGGGAAGAGGGCTGAACTGGGATTGGAGAACTTGGATTTCTGTGTTGGCCTTAACCTTGTGACCCAAGGCCAGTCATCCAAGTTTGCTGTCCTTCAAATCAGAGGCAGGTTATACTGGGTGATGTTCCTTGGGCTCCAGCCTACTTTCTAGCCTGGGCTGATAGGCAGGAATGCCATCAAAGGGCTCTTTTTTTGTTGTTTGGGTTTTTATTTTGTTTTGTTTTGTTGATTGTGGGGCCTGAACTCTGGGGCCTGGGCGCTGTCCCTCAGTTCTTCAGCTCAAGGCTAGCGCTCTACCACTTGAGCCAAAGCACCACTTCAGGCTTTTTCTGCTTATGTGGTGCTGAGGAATCGAACCCAGGGCCTCATGCATGCAAGGCAAGCACTCTACCACTGAGCCACCTTCCCAGCCCGTCAAAGGGCTCTTTGACTATCACTTTCTCATTGGGGTCTTCCAGCAGGGAAGAGCTGAGCAATGCCTAACTGCTCTCAGCCAGGCTTCTGGACAGTAAAACAGGCCACAACCACCAGAGAACAACCACTGGCTTGCTTCTGTACATCATTCCCCACCTGCCCTGGCCAGCAGCTAGCAGACCCCTGACACTTGGCAAAGGTGATGATGGATGGTGGTGGGATGGTTTCCCTTATTCCTTCATCCTGAAAGGATCCTCATCAAAATCATTCTTAGTAATACAGCTATGTGCTGAGTTATCTTGTGTGTGTGTGTGTGTGTGTGTGTGTGTGTGTGTGTGTGTGTGTGTGCCTATATCTGGGCTTGAACTCAGTAACTCTTGCTCTCACTTGGCTTCTTTGCTTGCTCAAGACTAACATTTTACCACTTGAGCTACACCTCCACTTTTGGCTTTTTGCTGGTAAACTAGATACTAGCGTCTCATACACATTTTTGGGGGGGGGCCTAGGCTGGCTTTGTGATCCTCAGATCTCAGCCTCCTGAGTACCTAGGATTACAAGCATGAGCCACCAGTGCCAAGCAACCACTTCCTGATTACATATATATTTATATATATTTATATATAATGCATATAATATATAATATGTTATATTATACACTATATTATATATTATATACTATATATTATAGTATAGTATATTATATATATGTCAGACATTGTGCTTAATACTTTCTATATGTAGCTGGCAACTTGCATTCCCTATCATTCCCCAATTATGCTATCAGCCCAACATATTGTGACCTGCAAGATATCCAACCTCTGCCCAGCAATGAAATATTCCCACCCTTGATCTTCTAGCCATCACCTTCAAGAAAAGGGATTCCAGGTACTCCCTCTCCCATCAGCTTCCTAACACAGAAACAATGTTCCCCCAAAACTATTCAGGGCCCTTTTTCAACCTAGGCCTCTAAGCTTCTATCCTGGAGTGTGTTTTGGGTACGGTTGAATGGGAACACATGGAACAGAACTTCCCCCTCAAGGATCAAGGGTCACCTGGACTCTGATTTCTTTATGCATGAATGTGCTCAAGACCAAGGATGGCTCCCGCCACCCTCCCAGGCCACAGCGCATCCCACCATGGTGGTGATTTTATTCCAGGGTCTTTCTCACCTTTCCCCACCTTAGATTTCTGCAGCACCTCCCTGAAGAATGATCTGAACCACAAGCCTTTGTGGGTGAAGTCTCTGCTTTCTGGAGGGAAGCAGATTGGGTAGGAGGCCAACCGAGAGATTCCTGACTCCACCCCCATCCTCATAGCAATTGTCCCCAAGATGACATTTGTGGTCTCTGTCAGAAGTGATGGCGGGCCGGGCGCTGGTGGCTCACGCCTGTAATCCTAGCTACTCAGGAGGCTGAGATCTGAGGATCACGGTTCAAAGCCAGCCCGATTAGGAGAGACCGTGAGACTCCTATCTCCAATAAACCACCAGAAAACCGGAAGTGGCACTGTAGCTGAAGTGGTAGAGTGCTCACTTTGAGCTGCAGAGCTGAGGGACAGTGCCTAGGCCCAGAGTTCAAGCCCCATGACCGACCAAAAAAAAAAAGTGATGGCGAGGGAGGCGATCATGGGCCTGAATCTCTAAGCGCTGTTAAGTCTTCACAAATCACATGCGACTCTCAATCATACCCATGTTCCAGTAGAGGAAACTGAGGCTCTAAGAATGATAGCACCAAAGGGCATGCAGTTAGGTCTTGCATCTAGATCTGCTGAATTCTACAGTTCAGGCTTCAGCCAGGTGGTGATCAAATATCTCTCCTTTGTTTCTCTCACAGGTCACAGTTATTGGATAACAATGATGAATTGGCTTGATGACCTCAGCTTATTGTAGCCCCAGCAAAGGTTTATCCACATCATTATTTTGTAGGGAAGAAAAGATAAGCAAGAGTTCCCTATGTCTAATTTCTGATATTAAAAAAAAACCCCACAAGATTAAAACTAGAGCAGCAGAAATTCTTTTTTCTTCTAGAAAAACATTCCCACTGCTCTAGTTTTAATCTTGTATTGTCAAGACACCAGGAGTCTAAAATTGAGGCCTGTAGGGAGCCAGGGGTAATTTTTAGAATCACAATGAATTACAGAGCAAACAGAGGCTCAAAGTCAGAGGCAGGCAAATGTCTCTGATGAATGAGTTAGCAAAAAAAAAAAAAAATGTTCTACTACACTTTAAAACCCTGAAGTCACACTAGCTGTTTTTAGAATACATGAAGCTTCTTCTAGGTTCAACTTAAGTTCAATGATGCAAAACAAGCCACTGTTCCTGGAGAAGGAGAAGCTCTGACTTGGGGGACAGGAAAGCAGACTTCCATTCTGGCTCTGCCTCAGACACAGTATTTCTCTCATTTCTCTAAGCCACATAGAACTCTGCTCTATAGAATGGAGACAGTAGTGCATATCTTACTGAAAAAGGTCAAAGAGATCATTCATCCTACCCTAGGAGGTTTGAACACATGGAAGACAAAAAATATACTCAATATTCAAGTGACCAACAGGGTAAAGCACCTGACGGGCACTCAGAGAAATGCCTGGCGAGAGTTTGCTCTCTTGTGTACCTTAAAGCTGGGGGAATGAAAAGAGATCAGAAGAAAGGGGACCAAGAAATCCAGGGTCAGTCGTGAAGACCCAGGAGGAACTGAAAGAGGATGGCACCCAGACAGGGCAGGGAAGTAGAGCTGGGAAATGGGGTTCTCACGATGGGAGGCTAGAGGTACAAACTGAAACACCCCCAGGTAACACCCAGTGGGAAGTCACTGGAGACTGTGGTCTAGGGCCAGCAGGAAACAGGAAGCTCTGAAGAGGAAGCTCAAAGCACTTAAGGGAAGCTCCTGGGCCCTTCAGCTGGCACCATACGATGAAGAAATACAGAGGCGTAGGCCAGATGTGAGCCTCTTCATCTTGATCTTCCCAGTCTCACAGACTGCAGGGAGTTACTTTTTCATTATAGATTATCCAGTCTTTGGTATTTTGTTACAGTGACAGAAAACAGACCAAGATGGCCTCCATCTTTCCTCCCTCCCATCCTCCGTGACTCCCTGAGGCTAACTCCCCCTACAAACTGCAAGCTGTGGGGCTCAGCCCTGGCAGTGATGGTAAGGAGGAGGTAGGGATGGGTGGGGAGAGGGGACAATGGGCCCTCTGGGCACATCAGCCCCATAAGCAGCTTATGTGATGTGTCAGATAAGATAGAACACAGCATAGGGCAAACTGGTCTAACAGAACTTTTCCCAGCAGGTCCAAATTCAATTTTTTTTAATATTTTTTTATCATTTTTAAGCAGTTTATGAATACAGTGCATCTTGACCACCCCTCCCAACCCTGCCTTCCCTCACTTTACTGAATTTTAGGTTATGCATTGAATTTTTGCCATTTAACAATGCAGTTTGATCCGTGTCAACCTCTTCAACCCCCTTCGACCTATCCCCTCCCTTATTTTTCTTAATTCTATGATACATACAGCGAATTCCTGCCTGCCTTCTTCCCTCCTCCCCTCATCATCCTTCTACCCGTCTCCTCTCGGGGCCCCACCTGCAATAACCCACTCCTGGTCTCTGCATGGCAAAGGACCTGGCTCACAAGCTACACAGCCCACAGAATGAGTTGAATTTTATGCCTGCTGTCACACGGGGAGCTGCCAACACATATGTTACCACTAAACAACACCTTAGTGGCTCTCTCTCTCTCTCTCTGTTTCTCTCTCTCTCAGTCTCTCTCTGAGAGCAACTGGCCAACACACTATTTCTTTTAGAAAACCCACCTCCCAAGTCTAAGACCAACTAGAGAAAGAAAGAAAAAAATAGCTGCATCTGCTCTCCGAGGCTGTCTGCGTCACTGCTACGCCAGCCAAGAACTGTTTCAGCTCCTCTGTGAGTACAAAGCAGCCTGACCTACCTCCACTCCCTGGCTGGCCTGAGCTAGCTTTCCAAGCGTCCTCAAAAATGTCCTCAAAACTCCAAGCACTCCAACAGGTCACAGGGGACCCAGGTGTTTGTCCTGTGACTCTCTAAGCCTTCCCCTCGCACGCCCGCACTTCTGCCCAGCCCACAGACACACACACACCTGCATGCACAGCTGCAGACAGACACGTGCACACTGCAACTCACTTCACAACGCAGGGTGCGGCTTCCTCCAGAGGAAAGCAGGGCTGTATCCACCCCTCTCCTGCATGGGGACTAGATGGCAAGGTAGAAGGGGCTGCAGTTCCCTCCCTTCTCTACCTCCCAGGCCAGGGAGGCCCCACACTGAATCACAGAACCCAGGGGTAGCATGAGAGGTCACAGGTCAGTGAATAGATGAATGGTCCTCAGCCACTCACTGCTCAAACTGGAAATTCTTACTATTCTCAGTTGCTTGGTCCATAAAACTCAGACAGCACCCAGGCCCTGAGTTCAAGCCCCAGTATCAAAACAACAGCAATGAAAAGAATACAGACCAATTCCTTTGCTTCTCTACCACGACAATAATAAAGGAAGAACAGATACCCGAACTTCTTGTTTTTTCTGAATGAAGAATGCTCTTTGGGGAGAGAGTTAACTCAAAAATTCCTCCTCATATAAAGTCACTTTGCAAATTCAATTAGACAGTTTTACCGATGATACCTGGTTCTGGTCTAGAAGTGAAGGCAAAACAAAAAAAAAAAACGAAACACCTCAGGAAGTGGCTCTGTGGCTCAAGTGATAGTGTGCTTGCCTTGAGCTGAACAGCTGAGGGACAGCACCCAGGCCGAGTTCAAGCCTCACAACTGACAAAAAAAAAAAAAGGCAAATGATTCAGGGAGATAGAGAAGGTAGCTCAGTGGTAGAGCGCTTGCCTTGCATCCATGAGACCCTGGGTTCGATTCCTCAGCACCACATAAGCAGGGGGAAAAAAAGTCAGAAGTGGCGCTGTAGCTCAAGTGGTAGAGTGCTACCTTGAGCTGAAGAGCTGAGGGACAGCACCCAGGCCCAGAGTTCAGGTCCCACCACTGGACCAAAATAAATAAATAAATAAAACACCTCATACTTTTTAATATTTAAGACTCAGTTTAAAAGCTGAAAAACAAGGGGCTGGGAAGGTGGCTCAGTGATAGAGTGCTTGCCTTGCATGCATGAGGCCCTGGGTTCAATTCCTCAGCACCACATAAACAGAAAAAAGCGGAAGTGGTGCTGTGGCTTAAGTGGTAGAGCGCTAGCCTTGAGCTGAGGAGCTGAGGGACAGCGCCCAGGCCCAGAGTTCAAGCCCCACAACCGACAAAAAAAAAAAAAAAAAAGCTGAAAAACAAGCAAAGACAACATAGCTTCAATATCTGTCTCTCATTAATGATAAGAGAACATATAGGCAAATGTCGATGTGAACTTTGTGGGAGCAGAGGTGTAAACGTGGTGTGTCAGTCTTGGGGCTCAAACTCTGGGTCTGGATATTATCCCTGAGTTATTGTGCTCAAGGATAGCATTCTACCACTTGAGCCACAGCTCTACATCTAGCTTTTTCTTTTTTTTTTCTTTTTTGGTAGTTAATTGGATATGAGACTCAAGGGCTTTTCTGTCTGGCCTGGCTTTGAACTTAATCCTTAGATCTCAGCCTCCTGAGTAGGGAGGATTACAGGCTTGAGCCACTGGAAATAGGCAACTTTACTCTTCTTTTTTTTCTTTTTTAAATTATCTTTAAGTAGTTATACAAAGCAGTTGCCATTTAACAAAGCAGCTTATGAATACAATATATCTTGATCAATGTCACCACTTTCAACATTCTCACCCATCCCTCCCTTACCTACCGTTTCCCTTCCTAATTTTGTAGGATATATTTTGGATTCTTTTTTTTTTTTTTTGGCCAGTCATGGGGCTTAAACTCAGGGCCTGGGCACTGTCTCTGAGCTTCTTTTGCTCAAAGTTAGCACTCTACCACTTGAGCCACAGTGCCACTTCTAGCTTTTTCTGTTTATGTGGTTACTGAGGAATCGAACCGATGACTTCATGTACGCTAGAGAAGCACTCGACCACTAAGCCACATTCCCAGCCCAGTATTTTGGATGCCTGACTGTATTCTCCTCTTCTCCCTTTCCTTTGTTCGTTTGTTCACCCCTTTCACCTTGACCCATCCACATTTTCTAGTATCTCTTCCTGGTATTTTGCTGAACTTTCACTTTGCTTTTCTAAGGAATTACACTGTGTGAGTACTCTCTGGAACCTATTTTATTTCAGTTAATATATTTGCATATACTTGCACACCACCCAACGTATTATAAGTTTATGAGCTAAATCCAGCTTCCACAAAGCAGTGTGGATGTTCCTGAAAAAATTAAACAGGATACAGGAAAGCCTCTAGCACGACCATTTTTATTGCAGCACTATTCACCATAGCTAAGGTATGGAATAGGCCCAGATGTCCCTCAATGGGCAAATGGATCAAGAAAATGTGATACAAACACACACACACACACACACACACGAATTTTACCCATCCATTAGAGAAAATGCTATTGTATCACTTATAAAGAAATTGAAAGACCTGAGAATAATTATGTTGTGAAGTGAAGTAACTCAGGCCCAGGGAGACAAAAGATATATGTTTTCCCTTAGATGTGGAAATTTTAGTCTTTTTAATGAGGGTGCTAGCAACTTTGATTCATCAGGTTCTGAAATGTCTTTTTTTTTTCTTTTTGTCAGTCATGGGGCTTGAACTCTGGCCTGGGCACTGTCCCTGAGCTCTTCAGCTCAAGGTGAGCTTGAGCCACAGCGCCACTTCCAGTTTTATTGGGGATAGGAGTTTCACGGACTTTCCTGGCCAGGCTGGCTTTGAACAATGATCCTCATATTTCAGCCTTCTGAGTAGCTAGGATTACAGGCGTGAGCCTCTAGGGCCTGGGTATCTGAAATGTCTTTTTCAAATCTTAATAAAACACTCAATTTTTCTGAAGTTCAGACATGGAAACAAGTAATTAGCAGGTTCCTATCATAACTCAACCAGATTCACATTATCTTTGTTTCTAAGCTGTTTCATGAACAAAGGGTGATGAGATTTTTTTTTTTTTTTTTTTTGGTGGTGGTGGGGCTTGAATGCTGGGCTTGGGCGCTGTCCCTGTGCTCTTCAGCTCAAGGCCAGTGCTCTACTGCTTGAGCCACAGCACCACTTCCAGTTTTCTAGTGGTTTGAACCGCGATCCTCAGATCTCAGCCTCCTGAGTAGCTAGGATTATAGGCGTGAGCCACCGGGCGCCCAGCTTGATGAGGAGATTTTAAATTCCAAAAGATCTAGAAATTCAAGTACAAAGGACTTGCTAAAATCTGTTTTGTTGTTATTGCTGTTTGTTTACTTATTTGTGTCCCAAAACTGGGGCTTGAACTCAGGGCCTCATGGTCTCACTTCAAGGGAAAGAAAGGAGAACTGTTAAGTAGATAGAGATAAACAAAGGCAGGTATAACACATGGCAGATAACATGTGGCCAATCATGGAGCCTCTTGTTCCCACAGTGTCTAGGGCTCCTGCTCAAATGCTTCTTCCCATAATGTCCTGAGTGTGCAATCAACCAATAAAAAGAGCCATGTTGGCTCAAGCATGAGCCATCAAGCAATCAGCAAAGCCCAAAGGAGGAGATGTGGGAGGGGCCCTTACTATAGTACCACCCCTGAAAAGGACTCCATTGAACTCCTCTTTTGGGGGCCACTCTCAGATGAGAGGGTCTCTCCTTTCACTGTTAACTTTCAAATGAAGTAATTTTGTTTATCTTAAACACTTTCCTGCCTTTTAATTCTTTCATGGACAGAGAAAATAAGTCCTTACTCATAGAGGGAATTACCTTTTTCACTCAAGGCTGGAGCTCTACCACTTCAGCCACACCTCTACTTTCAGATTTTTGCTGCTTAATTGGAGATAAGAGTCTCAGCTTTGAAATAAGGTTTGGGTTTTGGGGTTTTATCAGTCCTAGGGCATGAACTCAGGGCCTGGGCACTGTCCCTGAGCTTCTCTTGCTCAAAGCTAGCTCTCTACCACTTGAGCCACAGTGCCACTTCCAGCCTTTTCTGTTTATATGGTACTGAGGAATCAAACCTAGGGCTTCATGCATGCTAGGCAAGCACTCTACTACTAAGTCACATTCCCAGCTCTTGAAATATATTTTAAAGCTACTGAATCTCAAAAGTAATTCATTCAAGGCCATGGTTTCATTTCTTTTTTTGGGGGGGGGGGTCCAGTCATGGGCCTGAACTCTGGGTCTGGGCACTGTCCCTCAGCGCTTCAGCTCAAGGCTAGCGCTCTACCACTTGAGCCACAGTACCACTTCCGGCTTTTTTTCTTTTTGCTCATGTGGTGCTGAGGAATCGAACCCAGGGCCTCATATGCATGCAAGGCAAGCACTCTACCACTGAGCCATCATCCCAGCCCCATGGTTTCATTTCTAATTAACAGAGTTTAACATCAGGACAGACCATCGCTATCAAATAATACCTGCAAAATATTTTTCCTTGTCAGAAAGAATTCATTCATTCCTTACTTATTCTGCAAATATTTATGGATTGCTTTATATCACAGGTTCTTGTAAGTCCTAGAAATACTGATGTGAAGAGTTTACATTTCTATTCTCAAAGAGCTCATAGTGGGGAGGAACTCATCATTAGAAAAGAACCAACAACTAAATATGCCACTGGATGGTCCCTAAGAGCACAAACAAGGAGAAAGAGCTCCACTCTCCAGCAAGACCTGGAGGGACTGGGTAGCAGAGCTGACACACTGGAACCCAGGGCCTGAAGGACATGTGGCAGTGAGCCATACAAAAGGGACTCCAAGGAACATTATGTACAAAACAAGGCAGGGAGTGAACGGAAGATCTGGGGAATGGCAAGTATTTCCGTGGGTATGCAGGTGGGAAGTGGTTAGAAAACTAAGCCATGCCAAATCAGAGAATTCCCACATCTGCAAAGAGTACCCTGAAGACTGACTCTTGAATGAGGTAAAAGGCCAATCCTGAGCCAATGAAGAATGGAATGTGTTTATGATTCTGGAAATCTCCATTTAAGGTCAGGACACCATAGAAGTTCATTCATGCTGGGCGCTGTTGGCTCATTCCTCTACTCCTATCTACTCAGGAGACTAAGATCTGAGGATTGCGGTTCAAAGCCAGTCTGGGCAGGGAAATCTGTGACACTCTTATCTCCAATTAATCAGCAAAACTTTGGAAGTGGAGGTATGAGTCAAGTAGTAAGTGCCAGCCTTAAGCAAAAGAGCCATGTGAGAGTCTAAGTCCCCCTAGTTCAAGCCCCAGAACCAACACACACACACACACACACACACACACACACACACACACACACACTTCTCCCCACAAATAAGTGATCTTATAATACTAGAAAAATAAAGGAAAATTAGGGTTTCAAGCAGCCACAAAGACTCAGACCTTAGTTCCACTTTACAGATAAAATGCTCAAAGTACAGTAACCCTGCTGTCTCTGTTTCTGCATCTTCAGATTCAACTAAGGATTGAAAACAAAACTGATGCAATCCTCAGCAAAGGGGAGAAGAACTACAGTTCAAGGCTACCCCAGGCCAAAAAATAAAAATGTTAACAAGACCCTGTCTCAAACAAGTGAGTCATGGTGGTACACATGAGTAACCCCAGCTAGCAGGAAACAGAGGCAGGAGGACCATAGTCTGAAGTTGGTACACAATCCTATCTGAAGAATAAATTAAGTAAACATAAAAGATCAGGCATATGGCTCATGTGGTAGAGTGCTTGCCCAGAAAGTATGAGGTCCTGAAATCAATCACCAGTACCACAAATACAAAAAAGGAAAGAGAACTGTACTTGTAATGGGCATTAAAAGAACTTTTTTCTTGTCTTTGTTCCTTGTACAACATAAGATAATAATGATTTCCATTGCACTGAGCATTGTAAGTAATCAGGTGATGATTTAAAGTATACAGGAGAATGTGGATAGGTTCTGTGCAAATCCCACACCATTTTAACTCAGGGCCTTGAGCATCTGCAGATTTTGGCACCTACAGAGATCCCAGAGCTGACAAACCACCCCTCCCCCCAGATACTGAGGGGCCTCAAAAGACAATCATAGTAACTTGCCTGGGCACACGCAGTTACCACATTCCAACGAAGGCAATCTGATTCCAGAATTTCACATCTACCCACTACTTCACTCAACTAAGAAAATCAAGATGTTACAACACACAACGAAGCCAGGGACATCTTTCCAAGGAAGCAGAATGTCGTGACAGATGGTTGCTGAGGACCGTCATCTAAATCACAATGCACGCTTGCACTGTGCTTCATAACTGGAAAGTATGCTCGAATACTGTCTCACTGCTAGCTCCCCGCCCCCATGGGGCAGGAATGTTACAGTCATTTATCAAGAGGGTGATGGGCTAACTTCCCTCCTTGTAGGTTAGTAGACTGAGCCTTTCAGCCTCTTCAGGCTATCAAGCAGTTCTGAGGAGTGGCCTGTCTCACACATAGGAAGATATCTCAGTTCCATGCTCAATGTGGACTTTTCCAAGTTCCAAAAGTGAGAGTGAAAATGTGCTCTGCTAGGTTCAGCTCACTTGTGTTGAAGTATCACCTACAACCTATGTTGCAATTTGGAGTTTGATGTGTACCTTTGGAACCTGAGATCTGCTTTATAAGGTCATTCCTGGGAGATCCACTTCCATAACATGATCATCTCTCAGAGGCCTTGCCTCCAAAATCACCTTTCAGGTTAGGATTTCAACATTATGAAACCAAACCTCAAAGAATTAACAAATTTGCCTCTTTTTGTCCCTCTTCTCAGAAGAAGAAGTAAAAATGGTCAGTAGACACCTGAAGAAATGCTCAATATTTCTTTCCATAAAGGAACTGCAAATCGAAACAACACTGAAATTCCGTCTCAGCCCAGTTAGAATGGCCACCTTCAAGCATACAAACAATAGAGGCTGGCACACATGCGGGAGGAAATGAACCCTAATACATTGTTGATGGGATGTTAACTTGTTCATGTTCTTTGAAAAGCAGTGTGAAGATTCCTCAAAAAAACTGAACATAGGGCTGGGAAGGTGGCTCAGTGGTAGAGCGCTTGTCTTGCATGCATGAGGCCCTGGGTTCAATTTCTCAGCACCACATAAGCAAAAAGAAAAAAGCTGGAAGTGACTCTGTGGCTCAAGTGGTAGAGCACTAGCCTTGAGCTGAAGAGCTGAGGGATAGCGCCCAGGCCCAGAGTTCAGGCCCCATGACTGGATCCAAAAAAAATAAAATAAAAAAAATAAAAACTGAACATAGAACTTCCTTATGATCCAGCAATTTCCCTCTTGGTCATTTATCCAAAAGATTGCAAGTCAAGATACAGTAAAGCTACCAACACAATCATGTATATTGCTGCACTATTCAACATAGCCCAGATATACAATAAGCCTAGATACCCCTCCATGGATGACTGAGTCAAGAAAATGTATATATAAACAATGGAATTTTACTCATCATTAGAAAAAATGATATTACATTATTAACAAAAAATGGATGGATCTAGAAAAATTATGTTAAGCAAGTCAAGCACAGAGAGACAAAAGACATATATTCTCTCTCATATGTGGAGGCTAGAAGTAATTTATAAATGTACAAGTAAACACATATGAGGTTGTGTACAAATCCACATTGACCTAAGTATGGCATATGCAGAGAAGAATTACAAAAATGAACTCACATTCCAAAAAAAATTGAATATGAGGAAGCATACTTTAAAGGTGTGGGGATCAAGGAGAGGGGGGGTAGATAAATGAAGAGAGGAAGGGTGGAGAATGCAGTCATAATATTCAATGGTGTCCTATGAAACTAAGAACATTGAAGGGAAAGAATGAGTTGGAAGGAATAGGGGAGGATGACGAAATGGGTGCCATCAATCAAGATGCACTGTACTTATAAACTGCTTTGTTGAATGAAAACTCCTTTCTACAATGACTTAAAGATTATAGAAAATATAATTTTAAAAAATTTAAGTGGCAGGGAGGTAAGGAATATACACATTCAAACCACAGCAAAAGATGCATATCAAACTTGAGTTTATCTGTGCAGTTTAGATGGTTTTGTGGCTGTGGTCAGTCTTGCTTACAGGAACCTTGTATAATCAGTACTTAACCCTTCAGGGTCAACTCAAAACGATCCAAGAATCCCCTTTAGAATTCATGCATGCACTCAGAGAGGGGAAGAAAAGAGTTTAAGAAAGGTCCCCTCCAATCTGGGTGCTGGTGACTCATGTATATAATCCTAGCTACCTAGGAGGCTAAGATCTGAGGGTCCCACTTTGACACCAGCCTGGGCAGGAAAGTGTGTGAGACTCTTATCTTCAATTAACCACCAGAAAAACCAGAAGTGGCACTGTGGCTCAAAGTGGTAGAGAACTAGCCTTGAGTGAAAAAGATCAGAGCCAGCACTCAGGCCCTGAGTTCAAGCCCCACAACCCAAAAAAGAAAAAAGGAAAAAAAGGTGTCCCTCCAGAAAAAAAAAATCCTCTCCAGGTATTTAAGCATATAGGGCCTCCTAACCAGGAATCTCTCTATAATATAAGCCCTCAGGGACACAAGAGGCAGTACGGAGCTAGACAAGGCTAAGTAGCAGAGCACCTGCCTATCAAAGCCAAAGCCCTGAGTTCAAACCCCAGAAATCTCTAAACATCGGCAACAGGAAGCCTAGCAGAGGCCTGTTGATTTTAAGCAGTGACATGTATTATTTTGAGTAAAATTGAAAATGGCATCAGTTTTTAAATATTCAGATCAAAATCAAATCATTATCATTTCCAGATAAGCCAGCAAAATAGAGATTCAGTAACCACCAGCTGTGACAAAGAATCTTCCCATAAGTCACTGGAAGTGTCCCCGGAGAGTCACAGCTTGTCCAGGCCTTGGGCGGTCAAAGAATTATTCAACTGCTTAAGCCAGCCCCCACATAGAGCCAGACACAGAGGAAGAAAAGAAGGTGACCAGAAAGGGGATGTCCTTCTAAGAACACGTGTCCTTGGAGCAAGTGTTAATGCCGTCACCATCTTGGCAGAGAACAAGAAGGGTCACCTGCGAGTGACGTCTCAGCTGTAGAGGCTACGGAACAGGAGGACGGCCTTCCTACCTGCCCTGGGCATCATGTTCCCTAGTTCACTACCAAGAGAGCATCCAGACAGGGTACCTCATCAGAAGAAAGCCCCCTGCTACCATCTCCTTCACACACTTTAACTCAGCTGACAAGGCTGGCTTGGGAGCCAGCTGAGCTTTGGCTAAGCTGATGCAAGCTATCAGGACCAATTACAATGATGAGATTAAATCTGCCATCTGTGGGGAGACAACAGCCTAGATCCCAAGTCTTTGACTGTCCTTGGCCAGCTGAAAAAGCAAAGGCTAGGCTTGTCACCAATCTGGGATAAAGGTATAATGGTACCTCACCTGCACAGAAAAAGAACATTCATCTTCAGAGAAAAATAATCTCATCACAATCTCTTTGACTTCCAAATTCAAATAATACTACAGCCAGAACACAAATTCAACCCTGAATACGTATGGCTATGGGCTGCTTCTTAACTAGATGAAGGTAGGTGACCTGTTAGTTTACATTTACAACAAATAACCTGAATGAAGGGATGGGAAAGAAAAAGGTGCTTTCTCCACTCACAGCTTGGAGGGCTCCAGTCCATTGGCTGGCCAATCCCATTGCTTTTGGTGAGACAGCTCTTTGTGATTGTGGTCAGCCCCTTGCCTGTGGGATGACAAATCCTGAAAGCTTTGATTACTCTACACTTTCATTCACAATGATAGGAAGCACATAGTAGAGCAAAGCTGCTCACTTCAGGGTCTGGCTGCCAGGCAGAGAAAGAGGAACAACCCAGGATCCCACAATCCCCTTGGAGGACAGTCAATAACCTAAACCTCACACTAGGCCCCACCTCTTAAAGGCTCCACCACTTCCCACTAGCACCACAGCCTAGGGAACAGCACAGCCTAGGGAGGACCTTTGGGGGACATTCCAGATCCCAACTAAGGCCCACCCCAAGACCAGGAAACATCCTATGTCCCTCTATCTTCAACTTCACTTACTTTTCTGTCTATCCTAGCTCTCCCAGTATACCCCAAGTATATGGAAGGAAGGAAGTGTGCGTTACTTGTCCTTGGGCCAAAATGACATAGAGGCTGAGATCTGGGGATCACGGTTCAAAGGCAGCCCAGGCAGGAAAGTCCGTGAGATTCTTATATCCAAAAAACCACCAGAAAACCAGAAGTGGCACTGTGGCTCAAGTGGTAGAGCACTTGCCTTGAGCTGAAGAGCTCAGGGACAGTGCCCAGGCCTAGAGTTCAAGCCCCATGACCAACAAAAAAAAAAAAATTACTCAGCCTCAAGTATTTTGTTACAGTATCAAAAAAGTGGATGGAGATCAGACTACTAAGGAGAGTCAATATAACACTAGTCTTTGCTACAGTAACAAATAAATACCCCCCCCATCCCAATAGTGTATCAGAGCAAAAGTTTCTTTCCTTATACACAAAATGTCTGTTGCAGGCTGGTAGCATTCCACTGCTATTCTCTTATACACGGTCACCCAAGGAGAG